TATGGGTTAACCCAAATTTGCATCCTGAAAATACTCCTCGATTGGGTTTTGTTAGACAGAAAATGCTTATGGTATCACTTATTAGGGATTATAATGCAATAATGCATCGAGTAGTAGGGCAATGTATTGCCCTTTATGTTTCATGAAACTCATAGATGGATTTAGGTGTCAATAGTTTTCGATACATATTGACACTTATAAAAACACAACACTCAAGTTTGAAACTTGATAGCCTTTTTTTGAACCATTTATGCTGAAATCTCAATGTTAAAATACCAAATATCATACAAGATCCCACTTTTCCCCTAATGTAAATAATATTCGAATTAAGGTTGGCATTTCTAATGCTTATATGGAAGTTAGGTACTACCCCACTTATCTAGGTCTCATGTATCCTTATTTTTACAACATAGTTCACAAGTCATCATAAAATGCCCCTTGTGATAGGACAACGGAAAGAGTCAACCTTATACTATAGGAGAAGGCACACCTAAAAAATTCACCTGAAATTGTTGTTCCGACATTGAAAAACTCTATAATTAATCATCTCAGCCTCAAGATGTATTGATATGAAAAACAATAAAGATTTTGAGTCCTAAAACTAAGGCATTTTATAACACTAGCCAGACCGTCCATTCTCAAATTTTAAGTGTTTCGAGATCTACTCGATCAACACTATTTTTAGAATTTTAAATTTCATAAATGAAAGCCAAAATAGATTCGGCACATAAATTGAGTCCTTGAGCATGATTTAGAGATACGTCTCGCTATAATTGTTTAAACTTACCTTATATAAATTGTATATTAAAAAAATAGGAAATGTATACAATGAGACTTTAACTTTTAGTGCAAGGAGGTCACAACTAACATCAATCATTAAATGTGAAGCACAATGTCCAAAAACAAAATTTATTGAATGTTGTGACGCACTTCAATCTATTAAATATTACATCCAATGGCTAATAATAATTGTGACTGGTTGTACAAAAAGAGGTTATTTTGATGCCCAAATTTCTTAATATTGATCATTTCGACATCAAGATGCATGGACATGAGAAAAAAATGGATTTCAAGTTTTTTATTGTCAATTTTCAATATTTTCAAGTTTTATTAGATATGCTCAATCTACACTATTTTTTAAATTTTAAATTTTATAATTAAATATAAAAATACATTTTAAGGCTATCTCAAAGATTTTCAATATTGAAATTATATTTCTCGACACCATTTGAAAGTACATTTTACTTTACACAAAAGTAAATGATCTCATGGTAGACAATCCCAAAAAAAAAAAATCTAGGTGATGGCGTTTGGAGTTAAACTTGGTCATGAAGTTTGGCTTTGGGCTCAAGTTGTACAACAGCCCAAGAGTATTTTCCAAACCAAGCGAGACAAGACATGATTGTTTGGTAACCAACAAATAAAATGTGGAAGTTCTTGCACGTCAAATAATCCATAACCAAAACATAAGCAATTGGAAAAATGCTACAAAAATTATCAATATTTATCTTTAAGAAAGTATATACACAAAGTTAAAAAGAAAAAAAAAAAACTCGAACTTTGTGACTTATTCTAAGTGATTCAATTTGACATCTAATGGACGTATATGATTGTGATCTCCATGTACAAAAGGTAAATTGTCTCTTTGTAGACAATCCCCTTAATGAAATCTAAAACATGACAGATACACGAAATAGTGAGCCATCGGCTAAAAAGAATCCCAATACAATCTACAACACCAATTGCATGTTTATGCAATACATAAAAAATACAATCTATAACACCAATTGCATGTGTATGCAATACATAATTTGTACGTGGCATACTCTCTAATGGGTAAATCAATGGGAATATAGCCTTTTACTCATAATAGAAATAAAGCTCAAGACGTCTTATTATGGTATCTACTATCCTGACCAACTAAGCGTTACATAGGAATGACACTAAACAAGATGATCTCTCAAATTTAATTTTTCTTTCAAAAAAAAATATAAACAATATGCTATGTTTAGTTTCTCTTTCAACAAAATCTTGTAGCACATTGAGAAAGGGAGAAGGTTCAAAAGGGTAATAGGGATTACTCGCATTTCTTGCTTCCAATGAAGGGTATGGCAACAACAAACTTATTAACAGTAAGTAAAAAAAACCCCAATTATTTCTATGTGAGTATATTATCATTTTTCTCCCTCAAGTAAAACTAAAGTTAGGAGTATTTTTAAGACCCTAAATTTTTATAACCTAGGGACGAATCTCAAAAAGAAAATAAAAAAAGAAGAAGTTAAAATGGATTTTGTATGCGTACCAAACCAACATTTCATGAGATTGAACAAACACTGTCTAATTTTTTTATGGTTAGATCTAAGTGCTTAAGAACTAAAATTCCACATTTTATTTAAAAAATAATCATCTCGTCATTTTTAGGTAGATTCTAAAGTTTCAGATAAGAAAAATACTCATGCTAAATTTACTTTTGGTAAAAAGGATGAGGTTTTGGTGAAGCACATTATTTATCCCCTTCAAAATTTATTTCAGTGTTGGAACTTGAATCCAAAATATTAGGGTCGTTAACTTCAACAATGATCATGATGAATATGAAAAAAAATAAAAAATAAACATCAAATAATAATTTTTTTGAGATCTTTTTTTTTGCATAATGTATTTTACTTCTATAGGACAGCTATGAGACTAGCTTTGCACTATGAAGCAGTAAAAAATAATATACCTTTAGAATAAGTGTAGTGAAGATGATGATGTTGAAATGGATGAGTGACAAGGCCACAACAATATGAATTCATTTGAGATAATTTAAGTATGACACTAATAGGAGAAAAGATTAGAGATAGTAGACTTAGGTGAGTAGACTATGTGTGGCACATACCTAACAACGTACAAGTGGAAGGAAAACTTGCCAAGAGGCAAGCTCAAAAAGACATAGTTGAAAAATAGGGAAAAAATATTGAACAATTATAACTTCAATGAGGGTACAATTATTAATAGAACGTGATAATGGATTGGGATTCGCATAACCAATCCAAATTAATTGGAAAAAGACTTTGACGATGATATGGTTGATTTTACTTCTTCACATATTACTAAATCTGCAAAATTTTCGAACCTTCCAACAGATGTCTATCCCCAGCGATTTAAAATGTGTTTTACAGCTCAAATCCAGAAACTCGGAGGACTCAGGTATTTTGGACTCTAAATAAAACTTTTCCAAAAAAGAAAAACAATAAACCTGAAGGATTTTTCCTTACCCAACTTTACAAAGATTTGAGAGAGAGAGAGAGTTGACTAAAAAAAAAAATCAAGGCCATCATTTCATCATGTACAAAAAGGTTTTTCATATGTAGATAGTTGCGTGACAATGATGAGTTATACCAAGGGTTGAATACACGGTTCGGCGACAAAGATTGCCTATCCGAAAAACTGGATCAGATCGGCAGTTTGGATAGACAATCCAACTTAATTAATTGGGAAATAAAAAATTTTAAAATTAAAAAATATTAATAAAATAGTAAAAAAGTAAAGTGAGACTAGTTCTATGAGAGAACCGGTTAGAACCAATTAGTTCCCAATGTTTAGGTAAAACTTTATTGGCCTCGACAATTACCCATCCGAACTGCCCGGTTCCGATTTAGTTCACCGATTTTTTAAAACTTTTGAGTTATACAAAAATCGTTAAAAAATCGATGAACTAGATCACCCTAAAAGATCACCGTTAAATTTGACACAGATCTCTAGAAAAATCAAATCCCACATCATGTGATAACTTTTTGGTCCAAAAATGAAGAAGGGGTAGAATTACTGAATGAATATGAGCTGTGGCTGATACCCTAGGCATAAAAGAAGCATTTTCTATGGGATCCCTAAAGCACCAGCCACCCCGACCTAATTCATGATGAGCCCACCAACTTCCTAGCAAGATGCCTACAGTTAAAAACCACTGACATGTCAAGATCCAAATTCGAATTGGTTTTTGGTCTTGGTCAGAGACCATTGTGTTTGCGTTGGCTGTCCAACAAAGAGGCGATCTGGTTGATCTAATTGTTGATACGATCCATGTGAATACTCCAACTTACCTCACGCACTCTCAATTATTTGATGATCTTTTGAGGTCCTACACACAGAGAGAGTCGCTTATGATCAT